TAGGTTAGACTCAACAAGCGTCTTCCAAGCGTCAAATTCAATTCCAACATGTCGGCCCCTGCCATCAGTTATCAAGGCTAAAGTCACCTAAACAAAATTTTCTGAACCACTGTTGACACTTGCAAACGTTCAAAACATTTCCATAAACTTCTTTGATATTCTTTGTGGCTACAGAGGCATTGTTTCCCTTCTTGTATTCAAACAGCAGCATTACATGCTGAATGTGTCTCTTCTTATGTAAGACTAACCATCCTTTCAAGTTAACTAAAATAGTGATTATATAGTAGTCTTTTTCACTCTTGTTATGTAAGATTAACCTTCCTTTCAGGTTAAATAAAGTAGTGGTTATATAGTAGTTTAATTAACGTGATAGGAAGCAAAGTAAGAAGTAGTGATTACTCTCGTTGTGTAAATCTTTCCTTTCAGGTTATCTAAAGCAGTATTTTAATCATACAACTTATAGTTGTGACTAATATAATTGGTTAGAAGTATTGATAATCTAATCTGCTGTGTAAGAAGCTAATTGAAGAAAGTAAATACCGAATTTGTATGTTTTCCAGGGCCTGACTGAGAGAGGAGAGGCTCTTGGTCTTCTAGAAGAACGTACAGCGAAGATGATGAGTGAAGCCGAAGTGTTCTCCAATACGACCCACAACCTGTTATTACGATACAAAGACAAGAAATGGTACCAGTTCTGACTTGGATGTGACGAACTTATTAATGTGTTAACCTGAAAAGACGTGTTAATAGGTCCTCGCTGGCAGGCAGAGTTCCAGCCTTCTCTGTGTATCTCTGTGTTTATGTTTGTGTGTGTATGTGTGTGTGTTGGTTTTTGGTACATTTACTGGTGTAACTTGGAAACCACTTCCACTGTCCTAATCACCATTTTACCACAGAAATAAGGGGAAATGTGTATAAATATATAAATAAATACATATATATATATATATATTAAATTTAAAAGAGAAAAAGAGGGTTTCTGATTCTTGTCAGAGTTGCCTCGTACTTGTATTAAAGGGCAAGTTGTTGATGTATCGATGAGAATCTAGTCTCCGTTACTGTCTTCTTATCACTTTGGTGTGTAAATGGTGTGAAAAGCTATCTCCTGTTAACAAACATTAAAGTTACTATGTTTTTTTGTTGAGTAGAGTTGGGATAACGTAGCTTTTCTTCCAACTAATATGTATGCACATAAGAGTGAAATTTGAAATCTCATTGAACATCGTACTTAGAGCTGTTACTTAGAAACAATGATGTGCCACATACCTCCCCCTTCTCCCTTTGCTTTCCAACACTTGGGCAATGTTTGTTAACGAATAAAATCGTAGAATTTGAAACTAGTGTAATAATGTGTAGCTACTTTTGGACAAAGGACTTCATATGAACAGAGAATGATAATGACTTTAGAAACGGTGGTGAGCTGCCAAGGACTGGCTTGTCAGAGTGTGCAAGTTGGTATTTTATGTGGTTGTACTTTGCGCTCGGCCCTAAATGTACTTATCTTTATGGGCAAAACTCTTTTAAGAGTTTTCAGTGTGTGATTTGTAAGAAAAGTGAAGAGGAATTAGAAGAATTTTACAAATTTAGTAGTGACTAACCCAAGCTCTTTCACTCTGGGGGATTGCTCCCAGTTGATTATCTATTGTGAATTAAAATGTGTGGCAGGGAAATAAAGGGGATTATATCTTTGGTGCTTTTTTTTTTCTGTCAAAATAGCTTATCAAATAGTCACTTTTATGTGGTACTATCCCCATTTACGAATCTGTGAAAAAAAAAAAAAATGTAAATAATCAATCATCCTCTCTGCTCTTCAAAAATATCCATTTCAAAGTTAGCTGTTTAGTGGCTTACAACACACCATGAATATTTATTTGTTGGTTCATAGGTAATTTTATCTTAATTTTATATGATTCAATGACATTAAAGCATTCAGAGATGATTTATTTTAGCTTAAAAATAAGAAATATATTTTAGTGCATAGTGGAATTTCCCCCTTTTTTTTTTCAGGTATCTTAAAACGTTCGACTTAAAATTTCGTGTATTGCATAAAACTGTCTCGTGCAGTTTTTTTTTTGTACTTAGGAATAGTTCCAATGTTTTCTTATTTGGAACTTAGATCTTCACTTGACACTTCAAGATGTATGCAACAATAGATTTCTTGCTGATTGTACAGTTGTATTATTCAGAGTTTAGCATTGTAAGTAAAGGTAGGTTTGTTGATGGAGTTCTGCGTGTAAAAATATCTTTTGATAAATTCAATTAATTGATAATTAAATCAGAGTATAATATGTTTTTGAGTTATATGCGTAATTAACTACTTCTGAAATGCACAGATCATAACTTGGGTTGGATTACATTTTTGAAACGTATGTTTGTTGTGCGTGAAATTGTATTTCAAATCCACTTTTTGAATTATTTACTAAATGTAAAGTACACATTGATATAAAGTGTGTAGGGGGGGTGGGGTCAACTAGTAGTTCTACACACATTTACTTTCTAGGTCAGTTATATCAGTTGATATTTTTAATTCAGAAGCTTTAAGTATTTCTTAGTTTTAATTTCCAGTTGTAGTGTTTTAGAAAATATTTTTATCATAAACTTTTAAAACATTTTTTTTTTTAATATTGTTATGCTATAACACTGCTTACCAGTAACTCTTTATATGATATAACAACTGCTTTAATTGTTTTTCCTGATAAATTTAGTTTTTACCAAATGCAAAAGCAAGAAAAATATAGCACCACAACCTATTGTTTTATTGAAATTTTGCACTCTGTATATATATATATATATGTACGTTCTTTCAGGACTATTGAACCTTTTAGTGTGTCACAACTATTAACAAACTTGTTTTTAACCTAACTGTTATTGTAGTTCTTTCACTAAAAGCATTGGTTTGCACACTGATATCTGAGCTAGTTACAGCAAAAACAACGTTTATATAACCTGTTCTGTAAAAGCCATCATGCAAGTGTAGTGTGCTTGTGTATATATATATATATATATATATATATATATATATATACTAGTACTACGACTAACTAAGTTAAGTAACTAACGTACACGACGGTACCGTAAGTTCGTT